AACACCAATTATACTTCCACATAAGGACTTGAACTGTTAAGTGATGCTTGTATTACTTAGACTTAGTAAGTTGAATACAATACCTCTCCTGTTCTCCCTACAAGTCTTAAGAATGGTAAGCTGGTTACCTTTTTAACACTTTCTTCTTCCTCTTGGCGTTTCTCATAGTGTGAGAAGTCATCAAAAATGGAAGTGGTGTGCTTGTAGCTGGCTATGATTTTCAACACTTGCTTAGCTTTTTCCAGAGGCACTTCCTGAGTGTCCCTGGAGTTGGTCACTGGTTTATTCTCGTTGTTCTCTAGGCGAATGTGTCGCAGCTGGCTATTGGGAACGTCCTTCACGAAAATCCACCTGACATCAAAACGACCCTTCCATTTGTCCTGGGACCACACACCTGCACATGTGTTGTAGTCCACAGCAGATTTCATTTCCGCAACGCCACAGAAGTGTCCACTGCCGTTGACACTGAAAAGTAAGTAAACGGGACCTTTCCCGTTCATGGAGCGATAAGCAGCATCCAGTCTCTTGTTACCATGCTCTGTGCTGCACCAGATATTATACTTAATAGAACGGTGAATATCGTCCTCAGAGTAGCTCTTAATGATGAAAACCCGGCCATGTTTCAGATTCCAGTCAAAATCCTTAGGGTTATAGTTATTAATGGACCGTAGCTTCTCCAACACTGGGTGAGGTTCTGAAGGAGTAGATCCAGATCCGGCCTGAGACTGTCCTACTCCATTACCATCCACCCCATTATGACCAAACCCACTGCCACGGTTCCGAGGTGCTACCCAACGGGTTGACTGAGCTGCCTGTTGCTGGACTGAGAGCTGGGCAGGCTGTGGTGGAGGTGGGGGCAATGGCTGTGTCTGCTGCCCTACTGATGCATGAGCCACTGGTGGGCTATTGTTAACCTGCTGACCTACAGGCTGGGGAGACCCCTGGGTTGGCTGCTGACCTATATTCTGAACCAAAGCCTGTGAGGGGGCTTTTGCCACAGGACCTTTGTTATCCCAAGTTCCAATATCCATGTTATGCTTTATTGGGGGTGGTGGAAGACTTGACCCTGCAATGCCATTCTTGGTCTTCAACTTAGGTTGCTGTTTTGCAGGCTTGCTAGCAATATCAGCCCATGACGCTGGTTTTGGAGGAGCAATGGTAGCTGGAGGCAAGCTATTAGAAGCCACGATGTTACTAGTAATGGACCCACTACCAACAGCAGAGCCTACAACTTTTGGAACATTGCTTGCAACTTCTGTGCTACCCAACTTCAGTGCTGCCATCCCTTGGTCTATAGTATTCATGCCAGGAGCTTTATTGAGGGTCTCACTGGCGAAAGCTGACTGTCCATCAATCATGGCTCCACCTAAGGAGCTAGGTGCATAAGCATAATTGCTACTATATCCAGAGCTCTGAGTAGACTGTCCCTGAGAACTGTTATTTCCCCAAGCTGAGAAATCAATCCCACTGGGAAAGAAATTAAAACCATGCTGACCAAGAAATGGAGTGCTACCAAGGGCTCCTGGTTGTCCAAACATTGCATCTGGTAGGAAGTGAGGCTCTCCGTTGCTCAGCTGTCCATAAGAAGTCAAATAGGGCATAGCTGTGTCACCCCCAGTAGACCAAGCGGCTTCACCCAAAGAATAGGAGAAGCCAATTGAGGGACTGTAGTAACTGGGTAAGTATGAATCTGACATGGCAGTATATGCATTATTCTGTGGAAGGAAAAAAAGGCAAATTAAAACTAAACACAAAAATAAAACAATCAGAATATTTCCTCCCCCAATTATTCAAATATGTCAACAATTCAAATATTTCAGCCATTACCTTAAAAAAAAATGACCATTTCAGATGTTCTCTTCCCATAAACCTGCTTCTATTTTTGCATTGTAAAATACTGTGGTTTAATAACTGAAATGTTTAAATATTTAAAATTAAATTTACATACAGGGAATATGGACCTTCACTGAAGCACTACAATTAAGAAAACGGAAAACCAAGCATCTCACCAACAGCTAGCTGTCTTGCTCTATAGAAGTGTTGAGATGATGCTTTTATTAAAACCAGTATCTCTGAAACTGAGTGGGAATTTTGGCAGAACAAAGAAGTATTCAAAAGAGTTTCCTATTAAAACCATACCAGAGTAGATAAAAAATTTTAAAAAAACTGAAAGTTTTAAGTTCTATCCCAAAAATCTGTGCAGCTATTCCTTAATATAAACCAAAAAGCAAGTTTCACTATGTCTACAGTGGTAGCCTCTTGGCAAACCATCTGGGAACATCAACAGATGTCACTATTTAATTATAACTTCGAAAGGAAATAAATGTACAGTAGCTTCCAGAAGATTTAAAACTAGAAAAATGTTGCTACCTGTTGTTTCTCCTATAAAATGGTTGTAAGCTGAAATACACATGCACATCTGTCTATTAAAAACAGGAGTATAATTCTAAAGATACCATATATTATAGTCCATTATCTTTAAATAGAGAATCATCCAAAATAACCAGAAATATAAACTTATATGCAAACTTATAGTCTTCACATTAGCAAATTACACTGCAAAGACTTCAATCATTCTTGATCTTACTTTAATTTGTGCTAAAAGTATTTTCACTTTTCTTTAATAAATCTTATAGCTCAGAACAATCCCTTAAGTGAGAAACTAGAGGTACATAAAATTGGTCTCTACAGATGTAGATACTGCTTAATTCAAAAGAGTACCCCTAACTTCAAAATAGCTCTTGTATATAATAATCTATTAACTAATCAAAATAGAGTTTTGTTTTGAGAAACTTGGATGACTGTGATGTTAGGCCTTAAGCTTGTATTACCGAAGCTGATAGTACTTCTCCTTAGCCACTAAAATACACCTCTTAAAGATTAAATGTTTCCACTAACGTGGTTCAATAAAATGGTGGTGCTTCTGCCAATTTTAATTTTCCTTAAAAAAAAAAAAAAAGCTCTTTTCATACATAGACTCCCTTAAAACTAAAGATATTTCCCAAACATGGTGTTAATATTTTAACAAATCCAAATCCATTATGTATAAGAAATTCAGTCTATAATCAAAGGATTAATAAGCCTGAAGGATTATTCCAACATAAGGCAATGAAAAATCGGTTAAAAAGAATTATTGACAGTACTACAAAGATTCTCAAACTCTCTATTCGACAAGATTTATATTTTCCCCAATATTTTTTAAATAGACATTTAAGATTTAGCTTACGTAAGAAAAAACAAATTCACTTAATATCACAGGTTATGCCATTATATAGCTGAATGCCTACACCTGAACTGGCAGGTTCCCACATGCCCCTGAGCTCAAAAATCTGAATTACACAATGTTTCACAAGAACTACCTAGAATTATATTTCCAAATGCTCCCACTCTCCCTGTTATAATGATTATGTAAGCAAACGACTTCAATAGCAGGAACCTATTAATAGGTTCATTCCTCTACTTCCTTCCCTACTTTTCCTGATTAACTGGTTGTCTACTGCAAAAACTTTTTTCCAATCAGTTGCTTAAGTGGTTTCTATACATTCGATGCAAAAAATTTTACATAAGGAATCTAAAAGTTTAATGTAAGAATTGGGTCCAAATATGGGCACATGCTAATATGTCAAGTTATTCTAGACTATCATACAGCATCTGTTCAGAATTCACAAGAAAGTTCCATAACCTTCTTTAAGGATATTTTGGATAAATTACTGGTAATTTTTCTTCTGGTTCATTAGTCTGAGGAGTTACATTTATTTGTTACAATTTCGTAACTATGTCTTTGATACTCAAGATACTTATACAAAAGAACTGCCAAATTAAAGACACTCTAAGTGCACAGGTCAGGTACCTGTATGCAACTAATATTCCCATTAGAAGACAGATTATATTGCAAAAACCTCAATTACTCTTGATCTTAGTTTGTGCTAAACAGTATTTCATCTTCCTTTTTAACTAGATTTTGTAAATCCTATAGCTAGCTTAAGTGAGACCCAGAGGTATATAAAGTTGGTCTCTACAGATGTACATACAGCTCAACTCGAAAGAAGAGTACCTAACTCCAAAATAGTTCTGCTAATATAAGAACCGCCTAACTAGTGGCCAGAGGAAAGGAAGAATACCCAGTTCTGTAGCACTGAATAAAGTTCAGGTCATTTTACATTAATTTTTCCCATCACAAATGAATCCAAATTTCAAAAAAATTTTACCCCCCGGTTTGGGGGGTAAAAATTCAGAATACTTAGAAGAATTAAACAGGTGTTACTGTTCATACACTTAAATATCATCAGGACTAATCTCATAGCACAGTGGGTTTGATGACGAGATGGAAATCTGCACAGTCTATAACATTTGTAACAACTTTTTATAACACACTGACTAGTATTAAGAAAGTTACCCGGTATTTATTGATAAGAGAAAAATTAATGGTATACACCCTTTGATCAGGCATGTAAATGGTTAACTACTCACGGGCCTTGCCTGTGGACTCAAGTAAGGTTCAAAATCATCATCGTTTAATCCATCCTTTTGATGTACAGATCCATTTTGTACTAAAGGGGAAAAATTCAAATTAGGAGCGTCTCGATGGTACAAACTCCCGCCTAAACTAATCAAATATATCCTAACGAGAGAAAAACATTACTAAATAGAGCAATTAAGTGTGAATTTCAGAAGGAAAAAGATGAGAGTGAATGCTGAGCAGTATTCGTCAGTGAAAATGTCTCCCTCCACCCAGAGAAGCTGATCTAAAAAGGTCATTTTACTGGCTCCTCTAGATTTCAATGCCCTCCCGCTTCCTCTCCCCCGTCACATGTGAGTACTTCCAGAGTGTGATCCATGAGGATGAAAAACAAAGGCCTTCTAAGACCTACAGGAAACTAAGGACCTGAGACATTTCAAAACTGAATCCACCCCCACCCTTAATGAATTACTCCTTGTTCGCTAAAAAGCTGTTCGCCAGCTGCAAACGCACATCGAAAGGGTCATATACTTAAGTATGAGGCACCTGCGAACTAAGCGGCTTCCGAAAGGTCCTCGCCCAGGGGCGCTTCCCGGAGACCCCGCCCCCGCTACTCCGCGTCCCCCTCCCGGCCAGGGCACCGGCGGAGCCGGGCTCACCTTTGTTTCCTTGACCTTTTGGTCTCTGAGGGCGAAGGAAACGTCGCCGAGCAGCAAGTTGTCCGAGGAAGAAATGGAAAAAGAAAGACAAATTAAAGCTGGGCCCAAGAAAGGAATAAAGGAGCTGGCCTGAGGGGACGCTTCAGGAATGGTGGTGAGGGGGAGGCTGAAAACGGAAGGCGGGGAAAAGAGCTAGGCCGGCGGGGCCCAGGAGAAAAGGCAGGGGACGCGCCAGAACCAACGCGAGGAGACCAGGAATTCAAGGAAAGGGAAGGAAACAAGTTAGAAAAATGAGGCCCGGTGAGGGAACGCGACGCAGCCACTGGGCGCCGAGGCCGGCGGAGAAG